GTTCCGCCATCCATTTACTCAAGCTCGCTAGGTAGGGTATGCATTGGTTTCCTCTGTCCCTCTTGCCTTCAATCTCTCCTGTGAGTATCAAATTTTCCAAGCCTTTTTTTCTCATTATGTACCCTAGACATTTTAACTGTCTCTTGCTGACGTTAAGTATGTCTTTTTTTTTCCATTTTCTCTAAAACTTCACCGTTGCTCACATGTTCGGTTCGGGGTATATTCAGCATCCCTCTGTAGAGGATGCAGGATGAATCATCACCGGCAAGTCATCGCCGCCGACTCAACACTGCCGACTCAAGGACATCCAAACTATGAAATTCTGCCCAAGCTGAGTATTGTTTGTAAGTGATTCGCAGGGTTAAGTAGTAGAAATTTTGATCTGGAAGACGGAGAACGTTATGACAGGCCTGCAGCCATTGATGATGACCAAATCGAAACGTAATTCGACAGAATCCTATATGTATGGCGCGTTCAGCAAATCCAATTTACCATATTGATGCGCCATTAGAATTGGGTTAGAAGAGTCCCTAGCGTTTCTCAATAGATGGCGCGTGAAGATGTGATTTCGTTTCTCACGTGACATAAATTTATGCCATTTATACACATTCTGTAAGGTGATATTTCAATGCCTCTTTCTATGCGATTCGTGTGTTGGTTGTAAATTTTAAATATTTAACGTTAAAAACGAAATTAGAAAATTATACATATTTTCGTTATTTGGTGATATTTTATATGTGCCGTTTATGGAGATGGTGCCATAGCTGTGTGCACTGTTTGTAAGTGGCTCGCTGCGTTCAGAAGTGGAAATTTTGATCCGAAAGTCGGAGAATGTTCCGTTCGCTGACGATGATCAAATCAAAGCGCTGATTAAAAATAATCCGTGTCACGCAAGCACGGGATATTGCAGAGGTACTCCACATATAAAGGTTGTACGTTATTCGAAAACATTTGGATACGTGAATCGCTACAGTGTTTGAGTGACTAGGGATTTGACAGAAAACAAAAAATTAATTGACCTTGTTTACCATTTGCGTTTCTCTGCTCAAACGCATAAAGAACGGATTATTTATGAAAAGAGCGACCACGTGCGATGAAAAACGGATTATTTACAATAGAGGTTGGTAATCTTTTGGAGAGATTGGACCAAACAGCTTTGCAGTGTCTCAGAGGACTGCCATTATATCAAATGTCCGATAACAAATTATCTCGACTTAATTAATTTCTCTTGTTTGTTAAATTAGGGTTATTTGATTTTTTTTTTAAATAGTTAATTTTTCTACAAGGTATAAGTTACATCAGGAATCGGCAACCTTTTGGAGAGACAGCACAGAAAACTATGCATTTTTTTTTTTTTTTTGAGGAGGGCCATAATATCATATATATTATAACAAATTGTCTTGACCTCAGACCACTTCGACCAGAAGGCTGCCTTTGTCTGGAGGTTTAAAGAAGAAACAACGAAGTTAATGTTTATATATTATTTAAACAAAGTTCGTTATTTTACTGCAAGAAGAACAGGAGAAGAACTAAGAAAATCAACAAAAAAGGCAAATTCCTTACTACAAATGAAATATTGTTAGAAAGGATGAATTATTTAATGAGGCACTTGTTTCTGCTTATTGTTCGATAAATTCTCCACATCAGGTGAAATATTTATCAATGACAGAAGCAACTGCAAAACATCATCTGGGTGGTGACCAGCCAACCTTCAGCTTAAACGACTTTTAATATATTTCATTTTCGTTGTTCACAAGCATATGTTTTTACAAATAATGATATTATAATAATTTTCGCATTATTCAAGAGGCTTTTAGATTTTCCACTTGGCAAAACATATTTCTTGCAGAAGTCAGCAGTGGCTTCGGAATTAAATTTCGATTTAAAAAAATTTGTCGAATTGTAAGTCAATTAATTCCAACATATATTTCTTTTGCCACTTGCCCACAAAATTAATTAGATAATTAGTGATTTTCTAAGCTCTGCTTAGATGTGGCACAAGGCCGGAAGTCCTGGGCGCCCAGTAAAGATCGAACTCACTACTCAGTCGGAACATGTTCTAGCGAGAACACCATTACACCACGCCAAGGTGCCCTAATTAGATATTTAGTGTCTAGGTATTAAGCTAGTGTACTAGAAAAAAATCCTTTGCGGTCCGAATATGTCCGGGAATTGCTGACCTCCGAGTTACATTATTCGCCTTTATCAATGTAAAATCTGGTTCTTGCTATTATGTCCCACGTAATTAAGGATCTATTGCCACTAGCCTTTAATTGCAAGTGATATTTATAAAGAGTAGTTTTGTTTTTTATATTTATCGTTACTTAAACTTAGCTTGTGATTATTTAAACGAATTCCACTTGGCAAAACATATTTTTTGTAGAAGTCAGCAGTGGATTCAGAATTACACTTTGATTTTAAAATACTCGTCGCCTTGTAAGTCAAAAATATCAGTTGGAGTAACGGATATTTTTTATGCCACTTGCTCCACAAATGAATTAGCGTCCATGTGTTAGAGAGCCGAACAAAAATTCTTCGCGGCCCGGATGTGGCCCGGGAGCAGGAGTTTACCGACCCCTGATTTACAACAATGTGAAGCGAAAAAGGCTATAGGAAAACGAAATGAGCCACCGATCCAAAAACATCCGAAGAAATTGATTTTGTTTATCTGTTTGGATTGAAGTGGCATCATGCATTACGAGTTCCTTCCGTATATAGAAGCGGACGTTGAATTCGAACAAAGGAATTATGGATAGCGGCTCGGATTGATGAATCGGAGATCCGAGTTCAAACTCCAGTCGAATCCATTACATTCACTTACGTGCTAATACCCTTGGGAAAGGTATGAATCCTCTTTTTCTCCCCCACCCAGCTATGGGTAAATGACAGGACACGTTCTATAGCCTTGGTAACTGGTCTACCGCAGAAAGAAGTGGCAACCTACCGCGAGAAAACATCTGCCTCGTCAGTCATGTATCGAAAGATAAATGATCGCCTAAGCCTGTATCACGCATAGCACATAACTGACTGTTCCCAGCTGGACCGGTTAAAGACAGCAATCGATGGAAAGTGTGCAGAATGTCCATTCAGACAACTCCAGACCCGAAGTGTCCTTGACGACCTGATAGAAATTGGTGCACCTTAAATTCCGACTGTCTGAATTTGAATCCATCGATTTTACTTTCGAAACCCGTAATTTCTCGATTTTTTTTTTAATTGATTTCAACCTAAGCAAGGCAGTAAAGCCACTGAGACACAAGGGGTTACTCGGTGTGGGAGTGTTGGCAACCAGAACAGTTGTTAGGGAGCGAGAACAGAGGAAGGGCAATCAGGAGGACATGAGATAGCGACTGACATTATCGTCATTATAAATATTAGAACTAATATTGCGACCATAAGTCTCGTTCAGCGCTCAAAATCGGATGCCTTGTGCCAAACATAGCCTTGTCGAACGAGTAGCTTCAACAACCATAATTATAAGTACCTTGGGAACTTCGTTGTGGTGTAAGCTTGTCTCGCTAGATCAATCGCAATGGTGAGTTCGATCCTCACTGGCTGCGCATTAATCTAGGCCTTGTGCTATAACTAAGCTATGTTTAGTAAATTCCTGTGTTTTGGGTACCGCAATGTGATGTAATGGTTAGCAAGCTTGTGTCGATAGAACAATTACAACTGAGTAATGAATTTGACCCTTCCTGGGTACCCCATACTTTCGGCCTTGTGCCACATCTAGGCTACACTTATAAAAGCACCATAACTGCAAGTAACTTGACATTTCTCGAAAAGGGACTGATTGTACAATTTAAACATGGTTGCAGTCTGTGTCTGGGGCTAGTCTATATACACGTAGTTCTAATTCTTAATTTGCAAAGCCTGTCATAGATTTCTGCTACTAAGGCCGTTTATTCACACCTCTTTTCGCCCTCATGAACAATTTATATGATATTCTGGTTGCTGACTATGATATTGGTCGGGTCACTTGCGATAAAGCATAAAAAATGACAAGGTTTAAACTTACGAAAAATACTTATTCGCAGTTTATCTTATTAAATCAGGAACGTGACACCAATGGAAGCTGATTCAACATCTACCATCAGCAGAGGGATAGTTTTTTTTTTTTCTTTCTACGATTTTTTTCTGCGTATTATGTTTAATTTAATTATTTTGAACTGTATTTTTTTTTACCGGATTTTTAGATCGAAAGAAAAAAATATTTCTTGAAAGCGGATCGGATAATGGTTTATCTCACAAACTAGGTGACTGACGCGGGGGTTGGGGATAGGCAAGTCGGAATTGGGTTTAAAAATGTTAGGAGGTGAAAAAATTAAGGGTGATAAAAATCAGGCAGCGGTATCCTTAAGAATAAGATAAGGGATCCTCTTCATTCTTATTGAAAGGGGAAAAAAAAAACGACCGAAATTAAGGAGAGACGCACACGAACTATGATAAGAAAAACACTTCTTTCGTCACACACACACACACACACACATATATATATATATATATATATATATATATATAT